GAGGGTCTGGGAGGGGTCAGCGGCCGCGGCCGGCGCGGCCATCTTGGGCGTGGGCGGGAAAAGCCCCCCTGTCTTTCCCCCCCGCCGGCCGCATGTGCTGTGCCCCGGAGGCGGGAGCGGGCCGCTCCCCTCAGGGCCGGGGTTGATGGCGCTACTTCACGCGGTACCAAGCGCTCCTTGGCTGCCTGGCTTGTTTCCCCTGTGCCCACAGGTGCTGTTAGGCAGGGTCCCTCACTGGGCCGTGACTGGTCGATTTGGAGCGAAGTAAACCCGTTACCGGGGCGTCTCTTGGGCGAGGGTTCGATGCCTGGCCCGGGGGCTGTCAGGTTGGCTGAGCTGACAGACGCCTGTGGTGCCTCCGGTGTGAGGACACTCCACGGCTTTCCCTCAGGAGCTCAAGCCTTCGTGTGCTGCCAACCATCGCAGTGTGGTTGGGTATGTGTATGTGAAACCCCGTCTGTGTGGGGTTTCCGGGTGTCTGGGAGCTGGACAAACAGCTGCTCTGTATGTGTGTGTGTGTGTGCATGTGTAGGTTGACCCCCCACACGCAGTGAGACCAGGACGTGCTAGAGCTGCTACATGCGCGGTGTGTTGTCAGGGCTCTATGTGGTTGGCCAGCTGTGCGTATGCAGTAAATCTGATACAAGCCGGGCTTGTTTAGCTGGCTGTATTTACCTTGCAGCCATGATGTGTTCCGGATACATTGGACTCCTTTGTGTTTTCTGCACAGTGTGCTGGTCACGGTTAGCTCAGAAAATCCTGGACAGAAATACGGGAGCTGCAACGTTTCTAAACGTGAAGTGTTGGCAGGGATTTCTGCCAGCATATTCATGTAGCTCTCAAAGTACTCTCTGCCTTGCCTTAGCCTACATAATTATGAGGAGAGAGTGTAGTACTAGCAAACCCCTTTAGAAGAGCTAATGGTAGAACTGGTCTGTATGTACAGCACACATGTTCGCACACAGTAATTAAATTCCATGTCATACAGGGTCAAGTTTTTTGCTGTTGGGGACCAGGATCATTCCTAAAAAGCTAATCAGAATGAAGGGTACCTATTACTGAAGACATGTTGACTTTTCTTCCATCTTCTGCTATGGATGTGTGACTGCCATAGTAGAAAACTGTAGAAAGTGATGTTTTAGGGGTACACAAAACTGTCTAGGCATGGGGAAAATGGAACCTTTTATTATGTAGTGCTATTTGGCATGTCATCCTTGGCTGAACCATTTCACCTCTTGGTACATGATGCGCTTAGGGACAAGCTTTGTTGCTTAGAAAATAGCTTGTCTGCTTACTAAGGAAAAATTTGGCAGATGCATTTGTTGGCATGATTATCTTTGATCATGAATTAGTACAATTTGCCCTTCTAGAACATGTTTTGTGTCTTCATGGAAGCCATGAAGATGTAAGCCTACTTCAGGTCAGTACAGTAAGTGTGAGCATAGAGAAAACAAAGAAGTGGTGTTGACTTTGAAATAAATTAGTCACACCAATGCAAACAGTTGACAGGGGTTTTTTTAGGAAAATGTAATTGCTCGCTTTTTGCTGTTATCCTTGCTTCAATATGTAGAAGGGTTTTGTAATTTATAAATTACAGTTAGATAATTTATGTCTTATAGATGAACCTGTTTGAGCAGTGGTAGATGAGCCCAGGTAAATGGTCTCAAGAGGTCCCTTCCAGCATCAACAATCCTGTAGTTCCGTGAATGTGATTTATTAATTTAACCAAGTAGAGATTATAACAATATTCTACAATTGACTTCTTTGTCTAAGATAGCATGTTGTATCTGCAAAAGCAATATAGAAAATACCTAGTTGTTTCAACATAGATGTGGGAACTCTTCAAATAACTAGGTTTTGAAAGATTACTTAAGATGACTAAAACAGAGATTCCTGTTAGCATTGGTAAAACTCCTCTTATAATTAACTATAAATTTTATATTGATATACATACAAACACATATATGTGTTTCTATTAAATTCCATAAAAACAGGACTATCCCTTCCGTTTCAGATGCAGGCAGCTGAGCTCTTGAATTCAATTACTGCATCACGTTAAATGAACAGGATTTTTCCATACATCTTTCCTTAAAAACAGACTTTATCAAAAGGTAATATTCAACAAGATACATACTTTTCTTTGTAAAATCAAAAATAAAGGCAGGGCTTTTATTACTGTATTATTATTGTTGTTGTTGTTGTTATTGTTGTTATTATTTTCATAAACTTGGAACTATACAGAGTAAGTTTATATGCACTGGACGATTCCATTATGCACTTCTGCCAGTTCCCTAACTTCATAGCTCTTACTGTTACACTCTGCAGTCTCTTCAGAAAAGGAGGCTAGTTTGTGTGCCAGCTTTATAGCAGGTATGGGAAAATCCTCTAACTTGCTATTGGTCACAAATGAAGAATGAAGACTAGTCATGTAAGCTAATATATTAATCTATGATACTGCCCAGTGTATAGCTAGGATTTACTTTGTTCAAGTACTCCAGTCAAATCCTGCAGCCCAGTCTTAAAGGATGATTTAAGCTCATTGTACTTCATGGCAGTAGCTCCAGAAAACGTCCAATTTAGGAGACTCTACGTAGAAAACAAGGTTTTTTTTACAGTGCAATGAAAAAATTTTCATTGGATTTTTCTGTGAAATTTCTGTGAATTAGTTTTTGTTTCCTACATGGGTCTAAAAATCTTTCCAAAAAAAGTGAGTACCATCAAGATTAAGTACAGTTAATTGCAGTTGGAATTTTAGGAGTTTCTGTGAGATTTTTTTCATAATTAGGAAGTTCTGGGTTTTGTTTTTCTGTGGGATATTTCCATATTAATCTAAATTTTTCATTAGCAAGACAAGTTACCAGCTGTGAATTACAGACTAGGGTAGGGTACTCTGGAAAGTCTTTATATGTTGCTAAAGCAGGCTAATGTTACAAAATGGTGTTACATGTTAATAAACCCTAAACCAGTTTAATATTATCCTGGAGAGCTGAGTCAATCTAGTAAATATTTAAATGCTTCATAAGTAAATTGTTATGTTTATGTGTTATTAGATACATAAAGAGAATGAAACATAGATGGTTGTAAGGTGTAGACAAAGAAGCTAATGATTTACATTTACAGTAGAAGTCTCACTCAATCCTGCGACTCTCTTGTAATACTGCTGTTGTAATAGTTACTCTTGGGAAACAGGACTGCAAAAGTACATGTTTTCTGACACAAACTGCTTTAAATTTTTCTGCTCTTGTACATTTTTTCATTTGTTTGGAGTTTTACTTTTTTATTGAGGAAAAATGCGAAGAGATTTATAGAATACATAACAAGCTGATCATTTTTAAAAATAAAAAATGAAGTGCTTTTCAGTGAATGGCTATCCTCATTTCAAATGAAGTCTGCAATGATTAAATATTAAAATGATCGATGGTTTAAATTAATAGAAAAACTTTTCAGGAGATTATTACAAAGATTAACATTTTTAATGTTTTAATACTTCCATAGTTTATCAATCACAGGCACAGTGAAACTGTTTTTAGTTACCAAGCTGATGATCTCATATATCACTGCAGTATTATGCACAGCATAAACATCATGGTGTCATTGGTAAAGTAGATGAAGAAACAATTTATGTTATGGCTCTTTAATAATCAGTTTTAGTCTTCAAGTATTTTTTGACACACAGAATAAACAGGTAAGATTTTTTTTTTTTCCAATTTGGAAAGACGATAAGAAGGAAAGATAGTTCCAGAAAAGGTGTATGTATGCCATTTAGGAGGGAACTCTGTTTCATGTAATGACAAACATAGATTGTCACTGGTACTGCTACAGAAGGAGAAAAAGCACTTGCATGTGTTTTTCCAAGTAGGACTTCCATTAATGCAGCTTTAATATCCCCATATTATCTGTAACTGCCTATGATTCCTGATATATTTTTATTCATTAGAATTATCTTTGAAGGTCATGGGAAAATGTCAAGGCACCCCAAGTGCTTTTGTATTACTAGGTGCACATAGATACCCCTGTAATTCGGTGGGTTGAGTAAACGCTTATTCCAGGCATTCTTGACGTGGACAGTGCTAATCCCTTTGTTTCCCATTTCTTCTGCTTTTTTTTTAATAGTGAGGCTAAAAATCAGTGTTAAGTGATTTTTAAGTTTGCTTTTGCCTCTTTAAGCACATATTGCAATGATACAGTGGAGCTTTATACAGTACAGTTTATTGTGTCCCAGGGCTTCTTGCAGTGTTAAATAGGATAATTCATACATCAACAAAATACTGTTTATTCATGTGTCATGATTGTTCTTGGCATCGTCCTTGATCCAGTATGTTTTAACATCAAAAACAGGACAGAATTGGAAAGACACAGTGTTACGAATTAGCGAATGTAACCCAATAGCAGGTGTAAAGAAGGATGGGAGACAGGAGAAGGAGGGTGAAATAGAAATCCAGGAATAGATATTGAGCTGGTGAAGTGAATAAATGGGGAAAGACACTTCTGACAGCAGAAGCTTATGATGGAGAAGTCGCTTACACCAAAAAGGGTGAAGTATGAGAGAGGGAAAGAGCAAAGGTTAGCACTAGGTGAATGTTGAGAATGGTATTGGGAAGTTAAAATCCAGAGGGCAAAGTGAAGCACACCATTTTGTACATGTTTGTTGTCAGCAACTAATGCTGTTATTTCTATTAAGACAACAAAATAAAAGATAGAGTTGTATTGCCTGTAGTTGGGTGCCTCTAGCCAGAAAACCAAATTTACCCTCATGTATTTCAATTGAAATAAAATAAATAATGGAACAAAATAACCTTTTATGTTATGAACTGGGTTTTATAGTGGGAAAACAGATTGAGTTGGAAATGTAGTAGATTTCAAAGTTTCAATTGTTTTCTCTCCGGCTGTGCTGTGTGGTGTAAATGAAGAAAAGGTTAAGTTTACCCATGATAATTCCCTCTCACATTTACATTATCAATCAGCCTTTGTAGCTTTTTGTGCTTTTATCTATTGTGTTTTCATTGTAATCTTTGCATATGAAGTTCTCAATTCTACAAACTCTTATGCTCAAATTTATTCACGAATGGCTCTGACAGATGTGCTTTGGAAGCCTTAGATGCCGTGGTTTAAGATGCTGCCAGCTGGTCGCTTTCTCCCCACCCCTCAGATTGCAGTCTGTACAGAAGAGGCATCAATACCTGCACCTCACTATGCTTCCCTCACCTTAATCCGCATTTCTTTTTGGGTGGCTTGTGCTGGTGTGTAGGATGGGAATGGGGTCCAGGGTCCTGGGGGCAGAACATACCTCCTCTTCTTGCTCTTTTTTACAGGCTGCTCACCACTGGCAGCAAGGTGGTTAAACACCTGGAGTCAGCAACATCTCAAAGTCTCTCAGATACCCAAAGCTTGTTTATGACGCTCCCCTATAGTTTCAAGTTGAATGTGTTTTAAACTTTTAAATTACATATGTTTTCAACTTGTTTGTGTACCGTCAAGTTGGACATTTCAGTACTTGGATTAACCATATAGCCATCTCTATTTAAGACAAAACCATAAGGTGAGAATTTCTCTTAAAAACCATCATGCCCAAAAGATCATATTAAAAACCACAGATCTTTCTTTCATGTATGTATGCCATAGAAATTGTCCAGTATGTGGTTTTAGTGTTGCTCTCGTTGTGTGTGGAGCTGATTATGCTGTCTCCAATTAAGATTGCATCACTTTGCTGCTAGACAAGTATTGTATTACTTACCTTCTTGTCAAAAGGAAACAGTTAACCTAAAGCAGTGTATTCCTTGTTTTCATTTTGTGTCTTGGCTGTCAGACTGAATGTACACTATTTGTATAGCTAGCATTTAAATTTGATTAGGTCCGTGATTTACTGTTACTCAACTAAAATTTAATTAAAAATTAGGACTGTACAGTAACAATAAAATGGATAAGGAGCTGGTGAGCTGCCAGCACTAAGAAGTAAAGGCTGGAGGCCACTGTCAATGGATGAGAGCTTGTGGGGACTTTCCCCAGCATTTGTCTTGGTGTGATGCTTTTTTGCTTTTTGCTGTTTTAGTCAATTGTCTGCGTGTAAACATAGAAGCAATAGTGACAAACAATAGATGGTTCAGTGATTGCTGGATTGATGAAGGGATAAAGTATAAAGCATGGCTGAGATCATGGTAACACGAGTCTGTTAAAATGCAGTTTGTCTGCAAATGCATTGAGGAAGAAGGAATGCTGAGTGTGTGTGCAGAATGGAAGATTTTTATCTTGTAAAGCTATGACTGGAGGAAGACTTGGGGTTTGTGAAGAAGCTCCTGTAGCCAGAGGGTTTTCAAGTGCAGGGCAGTTGTCAGGAAGAGCTGGTGCTGCTCAGAAGAGGTGGGCAGAGTGGTAGGAGGGTGGTTTAAATCCCTTTAGTAAGACCAGTGCTGGAATGTTGCATCTAGTTGTTTGTATGAAAATCCCATCCCGAAAAATTTGGAAGTATGATGGAAGTCCTGAAAGACAGACTTCTGTTAATGGTGCTACCTCTGGTAGGTGGGCTTGAGAGTGGGAACAAGCTTGCTGTGATGTTTCTGACCACGTGGCTACCTTACCACGATAACCTGGACCACAACAAGCTCTACTATATGCCCCGCCTGGCTGCTGCAGAGCAGAGCCCCTCCTAGATACAGTGTCAAGTGTCCTAGGCAAGGCCATGCTGCATCTGTGTGAATTTGTCATTTCTTCCCATTACAGAGGGTGTGGGAATCGTTGTCTCTTTTTGTTGTATATGTACATCATAGAAAGCTTTCTATAATATGATTTTTTAACTTTAGGCTTCAGTGTGATTAAACTTAAGGATGGTTTTAATGGAACCACAAAGAATTGCAGCAACTAATATTTGGGGGTTTTTGATTCTGCAATCATAAAATGATCAGAGCAAGAATGGATGTGATTTTCTTTGAAATTTTTTGACATATGCTATTTAATTTATGAATGAATCCATAATTTTTAGTCAAAAGGTTAACGAAGACTTCTTAGATTTCTGTTTCTTTTTTTATTCTGCAAGATAGGATAATTTGAAAGCCTAGGTTATTTTGGTATCTTTCTGGGTATACAAAACAGCAGACCAACAAGATAAACAGGAAGA